CTCAGAGCAACAGTTCTGAACCCTGCTCTATCCTGTGCCACCTTTATTGTCTCTGACACAACTACCCCCATTACCCCAGTCACTGAATCAATCCATCTCATCCAGGGTCTTCCACCCTCCCAAACATGATGTCCCTCTTCAAGGACATGTCCCACCTTGCAACATGCCTGAAGTATGTCACACAAATCTTCAAAATCCTTGCCTTCAAGAAGCAGCCTGATTTCACCCTCTCCAGGGTGAACCTGTTTGTTTTCCTAGCAGTCCATGGTATATTCAATACTCTTCTCCAGCTACAGCTCAAAGACATCAGTTCTCCTTCTATCATTCCGAGTCATTATCCAGCTTTCTGACGCATAGCAAGTAATTAGAAGACTATGGCCTGGATCAGGCACACCTTAGTCTCTAGACTAACATCGTTTCTTTTCAGTACTCTGGAGAGGTCCCTTATAGCAGATTTTCCCAGTGCAATTCATCTTTTGATTTCTTGGCTGCTGGTACCAAGAAGGTTGATTGTGGAGCCAAGCAAACTAAAGCTTTTAACCACCTCAATCTCTTCTCCACCTATCATAATGCTGCCAGTTGGCCCAGTGGTGAGAATCTTCCTTTTCTTGATGTTGAGCTTCAATCCATATTGAAGGCTGCAGTATCCTTCTCCAACACCACAACTCAGAAGCATCCATTCTTCTTCAGTCATCCTTATTCACTGTCCAATGTTCACATGCATAGGAAGTAATTGAAAAGATCATGGCTAAAATCAGGTGCACCTTAGTCTTTAAACTGCCATCATTGTTCCTCAGTACCTTGGAGATGTTCTCACCTCCCCCTTCTAATATTTTTATTGGTTCACATGCAATAATTCATAGACATTTTGTTTCATTCATGAACATATATTTTATATTATTTTTCATTTACATTGTTTCATACAAGCATTCATAAACAATGTATTTAATGTAATTAATCACTATTGATCTATGCCTCTTATTGCCCCACCTTTCAAGTACCCACTGAATCTTCCCTATTCTTTTATCCCTCCACCTAGCCGCTAGCCTCTACCATCCTAGCAATTTCCACCCTTCCCATTTTTCTGCCTCCTCCCCCCTTTCCTCTTCCCCTTTTGAACACTTATGCACATCTTACTAGTTATCTTTCTATTTTCACAGTAATGATCTTATGCAGTATGTGTCATTATGAGACTGAGTTAGTTCACTCAGTATAATGCTCTTTAGACTCTCCCATGTTACACAGTATTTTCTGAAGTCGTTGTTCCTTCATGCTGCAAAGTATTCCATTGTGTGAATGTACTACGTCAATTCACTTGCTATTGGACGTTTGGCTGTTTCCATTTTCTTGCTACTATAAATAATGCTGCTATAAATATACGTGTACATACAATATTCGTGTATTAGTTCTAATTTTTTTTCTATAATCCTAGCAGTGGAATAGCTGGATCATATGCAATTTCTGTATTCAGCTTTTTGAGAAAACAAACTGTCTTCCAGAGTGGTTCTACCATTGTACAATCCCACTAGCAGTGCATGAGAGTTTCAATCTCTCTGCATTCTCTCCAACATATATTACTTGTGTTCCTGTTAAACTTTGTTACTGCTACTGGGGTGAGATGATATCTCATTGTTTTGATTTGCATCTCTCTGATTGCCAGTGATTTTGAACATTTCTTAGTGTCTGTTGGCCATCCAAATGTCTTGTCTTGCTGTAGGTTTAGGTTTTTTTAAACTATATAGAAAAAGGGTTTTGATACACAAAGGGACTTGATTTTTAGAAGGTCCCATTTGTCAATTTTATCCTCTCCTGGTTGTACACTTGGAGAAGTTCTTGAGAACAGATTTTTCTAGTGCAAGATGTCTTTTGATTAGTGATAAGTTTGGTTTCATGAGAGTTGTCTGCCAGATTTCTCTGTTATAAAGGTGTATTTTCCCCCTCTGTAATTAATAAATAACCTAGGGAACCACTTTAAAAGTGGTTCCCCAGTAATCTTTCAAGTAATAATTCTAGTATGTTTTGAAAATTCTTAATGCGAAAACTGATGATGACTTTCTCAATGTTTTTCTCTCTGTCTGTGTGTGTGTGGGTGGAAGGTGGGTTGGTTGGTTGGTTGTGTGTGATGCATCATCACAATCAAGAACCCTGGATTAAACACGATAATCTATAGTCCTTAGATATTGTCACAGATAATGCCCAGGAGAGCCGTTTTGTCTCCACAATCCAGTGAAGGATCATATCATAATATTTAATTGTTCTATCTCTTTTAATTATGGAAGAGTTTCTCTCCCTTTATCACTCTGAGCTTGATGGAAGGAATTCTGTTGGCATAGTGGCCCATGTGGAGGACTGCTAACTGAAAGGTTGGCAGTTCTAACCTACCAGTGGCAGTGTGGGAGAAAGATGGGTTGCCTCCTCCCGTTAAGATTTATAGCCTCATACAGTTTTTTAAAAAAATTTCATTATTTTTTGTGTGTACCGTCAAATCAGATCTGATTGGTACAGGAGGAGATTGTTCCTCCTTCTCCAGCAGAGCATCTGGTGGATTTGAACCATACACCTCTGAGACTGTAGTTGCAGCTTCTTGCCACTAGGCCACCAGAGCTCGCCAACCTCATACAGTTTTGAGCCAACTCACTGGCAGTGGTTTTCAGAGTTTTCAAAACCTTGGTTGTAGACTATTCTTTAATTGAGGTTCATTTGACATTTTCACATGACTATTTTCAGGGTGTTCATGTTTGGCAAGATCCCAAAAGTGGTGTAGGCCCCCTGGTTTGAGGCACAAAAACACAGGCTGCTCCTTGGAGGGAAGGATTCTGAAACTTTGTCTGACATACTCTGCACATGTTGCAAGGAGTCCTTGGAGAGGGGTGTCATGCTTGGGCACTGGAGGGACAGTGCAGGAGAGGAAAACCCTCGATGAGATGGATTGATTCCGTCACTGGGGTCATAGGGGTAGGTATGTCAGAGACAGTGAGATTGGCACAGGATAGAGTAGGGTTTAGGGCTGTTGTACATAGGGTCGCTATGGGTCGCAGGTGACTCGACAGCACATAACAATAACAACAACTGAATAGCCCACAGACTGAAAAAGGAACAAACATGTCTTGGAGAAAGTGTAACCAGAGTGCTCTTTGGAGGCAAGGTGGTGAAGCTTTGACTCACATACTTTCGGCATCTTATAATGTGGCAAGTTGGTGAAAGAGAGGAAGACCTTCGACAAGATGGATCAACATAGTGACTGTAGCAATGGGCTTGAGTATATCAGGGATATATTCAGGTCCATTGTTCACAGCATTGCTATGAATCATAATGAACATGATGGCAGCTAACAACAACAACACTGGTGAATTTGGAACCAAGTTATATGCCTTTCAATGTTATTAACAATGAACATAACATCACCTTTGTTGCACATTTGCCAAAAATGTTCAACCCAAGTCTAGTCATAAAAAAAATCCCAATTAAGGACTTTCTGGAAAGTTACTGGCTTGGAAATCTTCCAAACTGTTAAAGCTACAAAGACAAAAGAAGCGGAGGAATTGTACTAAATTAAAGGAAATTAATCTAAAGGATTGTTGTTGCTTTGTGCCCTCCAATTCATTCTTATGGCTGTGATCTTTTTAGATGGCCTTTTTCCATAGCACTGCCATGTAGGTTCACGTTGATGACATTTAGATTACTAGAACAAAACAACAACAACAACAACAACAACAACAACAAAAAACCCACGGCCATGGAGTCCTAAATATTATCTGAGTGGATCACTATATTGTGGTTTAGTAGGAGAACACCCCTGTTTTCAAGAGACAGATGCTGAACTAATTAAGGATGAAATGTCTGCAAGTAACATGAAGGCAAATTTTGAAAAGATGGATGACATTGAGAAGAAAACCTATACACAGACAAAGAAGCAGTTGTCTGAAAAGAACAAGGAAACAACAGGCATGCTTTAAAATCAAGACAGGTATGTGTCAGGGATGTACCCTTTCTCCATACTGATTCAATCTGTATACTGAGCAAATACTTTGAGAAGCTGGACAATATGAAGAAGAAAGTGACATCAGGATTGGAGTAAGACTTAGGAAAAACCTATGTTATGCAGATGACACAACCATGTGAGAAGGACCTGAAGCATTTTCTGCAGAGGATCAAGAGGATCACTGTAACCTTCAATATGGATTCTATCTCAACACCCAGAAAAGCAAAATCCTCACCATTAGACATCATGATAGATGGAGAAAAGACTAAAGTTTGCAACAATTCCATTTTACTTGGATCCATAATCAGCACCCAAGAAATCAAAAGACATGTTACATTGGGGAAACTTGCTGTCAAGGGCCCTTCCAAGGTTCTAAGGATCAATGATGTCAGTTTAAAGATTAAGTTGTGTCTGACCCAAGCCATGGTCTTTTCAATTGCTTTTTATGCACGTGAGAGCTGAACAATAAATAAGGATAACAGAAGAATTGACACCTTTGATTTGTAATGCTGGAGAAGAGTACTGAATATCCTATGGACTGCCAAAAGTGCCAACAAGTCTGTTCGGAAAAAATGGAATTACGTGCTCTTTAGAGGCAAATACGATGGAATTTTGTCTCAGAAACGTTGGGTACCTTGTTAGGAGGGGCCAGCAATTCTTACAAAAAGGCTGAGAAGGATGGAGAGTCAGAGAAAGAGAGGATAACCCTGAACAAGATGACACAGTGACTCTAACAATGGGCTTAACTATATCTGAGATGATGAGGATAGCACAGGGCAGGGTTCTGATCCTTTGTTCACAGGGTTGCTGAGTCATAGCTGAGTCGATGGCACCTAACAACAAAAAAACCCAATGCATCTGGTTGAGGATCAACAACTGGTCAACAGCATCCACAGACCGGACAGACCAGCAAAGTTTCCTCTGCACAGATGAGAAGTAGAAAGGGCGGGAAGCTGAAACCACACCCTCACTATCCCCCGTGGTCGACAGTGCCCTGAGGGCTTCAAGACCACCACAGATGCACACGCGACTCTGTGCACTTTATGGCAGTGCCATGAAGGCGCGAGGCTATGGTCTCGTCATCCCCAATGCGACAGTGAAACATGTGACACTGCGCACTTTACGGCCGTCTCGAGAGGGCGTGAGGTTGCGTAGCCCGCGTGAGGGTCGATTGCGGGTTCACGGCCCCACAAGCCTTGCATCATTGTAAGCGGCTAATGGCTATTTTCATCACGCTAACGACTCAGCGGTCATAGCAGTGCTGGCGGCACTGGTGTGGAAGGCGAAGGAGTACATGCAGACCAAGGAGTTCCGCGATTACCTGACCAGCACACACTTCTGGGGGCCGGTGGTCAACTGGGGCCTTCCGCTGGCCGCCTTCAATGACATGAAGGCGTCTCCTGAGATAATCAGCGGCCGCATGACCACAGCGCTTATTTTCTACTCACTGGCCTTCATGCGCTTTGCCTACCGCGTACAGCCTCGAAACCTGCTGCTGATGGCGTGCCATGGAACCAACGTGGTGGCACAGAGTATTCAAGAGACCTGCTACCTGCTCTACCACATAGACGGTGCCCAGAAGAAGACCCCCGCAGACTCTGCAGACCCTGCAGTGACCAGCTCCAGCCAGGCCAGACCTGCCCCGCTCCTCCATCCCCCAAGTGATTTTCTTAAATGACTAAGTCCGATCCAATCTTTGCAGCTTGCCAGCACAGAATTTCTCCTACAGAAATTGCCAACTGAGGCCTTGCAGTGAAAATTGGGACTTAAACCGCAGTTTCCTTAATAAAAGCAGAAAATAGCAACGAATGAAACTGCTGAGTCTTGATTATTTTATAGAAACTATTGTATGGCTTTGTAAGGTGAGGGTGGATTGGCTGGGCTTCCTTTTTATTGGTTCGTTTATATGGAGAAGGGAAAATCCCCCCCCTCGCTTTAATAGGGAAAATGTTAAATTATCCATTAACTCATGTTTTTTAAAGGTCTCTGGAGAACATGTTTTTGTTACTTATTTTGGAATTCAGGCTTAGTAATACACGACTTAAAACTTGTTATAGCCACAAATTTCTATACACGAAAAAGAATTCTAGGTCAATTTATGCGGAGGAAAATGCCTTGAAGTGTTTAGATGAATTCTGTGGGATATCCAGTTTAGACTCTGAGGGAGTACTTAGTAAGGGGAACCCAGAAACTCTTTATGATTGGGAACAATTACAGAATCTTCTTGGAAACAACATGCAACTACCCCAGCAGCTGCTGAGGGGCAGTTACTGTCAGTCCTGGATTCTAGGTAAAGAGAAAACAGAAACAATCAAAAGCATTATTCTTTCCTCCTGCCTTCATCCCTGAAAATAAGTGGCCTTTCCCCCCTTGTTTTAGACACAAGTGAGGGTTACCATGAAGGCTCATCAACAACAGCCTAGACAATCCTGAGAATCCTGTGGCTGCTCCTGAGTTGGCTTAAAGTTGAGAATGAGGAGGGAAGAAACACAAGGTGGGAGTCGGGGGTGGGTGGATGCATAACAGGGATGGACTGTGTGCCTCCTTTACCTCTGCAGCCTTTCTCACTGGGGATTGCATGACCAGAACAGTATATTGGGGGACACTGCTGTGGAATCCTGATGACTCCATGCACAACACTGCTTTGTCCTGGGACACCCCCATGTTCAACCACAGATTGGGTTTTGGAAACCATAGGGGTTTCCACTGGCTAATTTTCACAAGTAGATCACCAGGCCCAGCATCATAGCAACATGCCAGCCACCACTGCCCTTCTGGTACCTTGGCTAGGAGTCAATCTTCAGTCTCATGCACAGAAAGCGAGGTCTACCTCTACTCCCTCTTGTAAATGTGGAGTGGTTAAACGTTAATAAAGATTTCAAACGCAAAGTAACTTGAGAGCAGCTATTTGAAAATCACTCCAAAAGTTCACAGCTTAAGACAACAAATACTATCTTACACAATTTCTAAGGGCTGGGGATCTGGGAGTGGCTAAGCTGGATGCTTTTTGCTCAGGGTCTCTCAGCTGTAAGTGGGGGCTGGAGGATCAGCTTCCCAGCTCACTCATCAAGGTGTGTCTGCAGGAGGCTTCAGCTCCTTGTCACATGGGCCTCTTCACAGGGCTGCTCACAACATGGTTTTCCTCAGCACAAGCTTTGTAAGAGACCTTAAGATGGAAACCACAGTCTTTTCTGACCTAATCTCAGAAGTGCTGTGCTATCACTTCAGGTTTAGTCTAATGGTCACAAAGACCAACCCTGGCACACTGTGGGAGGATAACACAAAGCCGGGAAGACCATGAAGGAGGGATCACAAGGGGCCAACTTGGAAGCAGGTTGCCACCCTATGGTTCTTTTTTTCTCTCCCCCTTTTATTATTTTTTAAAATTGATATTTTAATGAAAGTTTATAAAGAACTTGGATTTCCATTCATATACCCTATGGTTCTTAAATAAAAATTTTCATGTCTTATATTCTGAAATATAGTAACAAAAATAAAGCATGTATGACATTGTTCTCCTTCCCTAAAAGATGCTATGAAATGCTCAGTTTACATGTTTGTGGCTACTATTTATGTCTATATATCATCACAGAACACAGGTTTTAAAAGCAGGAAAGAACATTCTAGAATACAGTATCACTCAATATTTTAAGATTAATTTAGGTGATATTAATAAAACCAATTTTTTAAAGTGCTGAAATAAGTCAATCTCAAGATTTTTTATTGGAACATTCTTTGAATTCACTGCACATCACATGTGTAGAAATTAATATTTTTATATTTGTCTTATAAGATGAATTTTATAATTTTAGTATTATATTTCAATAAAGCAGGTAGGTTTTTATTTATCTGATAAGGAGGGAAAGGGTATTTGCTGATAATTTCTTACAACTTAGAGGGCAAAATGATTAGGGAAAATATCCAAGGAGCTCAACACCTCCACCCTAGCGTATACCCCACTATCAGATCTAACTTGTAATACCCCCACCCTTTGCTGCCTAGGATATGTTAAAAGTCACACAAGTGTTTAAGATAAAATCTTTCAAATCATTACCATAACCATCATTAGTAACCCCACTCAAACATAACCAAACTTTTCTGACCTTGACAATTTAAGAGTCTATCATTTCTTTAGGAAGCCAACATTTTTCAAACCAGCAGTTATAATCCCAGACATTTCTGTCTCTGACACACTCTAGTTATGTCCCCAGAATTTAGGTGTTTGGTGCTAAGTGTAATCTTTCAATCTTCTGAACTCCCTGGTAAAAGAACAAGCTAAAATATAAAGAACTGTCTTATCTTTGCCACTACATTGTTAAAACCATTTTTGTCCTCTGAGCCTTTCAAAACTATGAACCACTTATTGTGTCTCAGGGGATGGTTGGGAACAAATCACATTGCTGGACGAAGATGACAAAGCAGTCCAAGATGAAACAGAGAGCCCTCTGTGGAAGAAGCCCACCAACAGGGCTGCTTCTCATAACCCTGCCAAATTCACAGGCTATGTGAGAGCTGCAGCTGACCCTATGAGGGGGAGGCTACAACCTCATCCAGGGATTGTGACACAGAAGACTTGCACATCTGAATGTTATTGTTCTTGTCTCTTTATTCATTTGAAATTATAAAAGTTGTAATTAATTTCAAAATACATATGCATATATTTGCTGTAAAAATTTCATACAGATGAGGGAAACAAATTGGAAAAGTTAAGTCCCTTCTAACAAAGGACCCCACTCCCAGTTCACTTCCTTTCCCAGAGGTATAACAGGGCAAAAAGTTTCAGCTAAGCATGTAACTCTTCAGGCCTGTGTTATCCAAGATTACAAATGGCGGCACAGCATGCTGTGCATTGATAAGCATATTTTTTTTCTTCACCCTACACCCTAGAGGGAGCTCTGTTGGTAAGAAGCTTCACTGCAATCCCAAAGGCACACAGTTAAAATCCACCAGCTGCTCAGTGGGAGAAAGATGGGCAGTCTCGTCTCATGTGACTTACTGCCTCTGAAAACCCGTTGGAGGGTCAGCTCTGAGTCAGTTCTGACACACAACCACAGCTATGTCCTAGAGATTACTCAGTACACTGTACTGTAGCATTGTCTCACTCTTTGGAACAGCTGCGTATCATTCTGTAGGATGGACATGTGAAGTCTATTTAACTAGTCACCTTCTGATGGCTGGCTGATTGACAATGTGCTGCCAGCCTCTTTCTTGGCACTCTCCTGCAGAACTGGGCAGAAGGGAATAGCAGAACATGGCTGCAGGTGGGGCTGCTCTGCCTTTGCAGAGGGCTGATCAAACACAGTCTTTACAGGCAGCTAGCTTAGGACCAGGAAAAAAGTGAAATAAAACTCAGCTTTTATTATGTCAATGAACCATGCATGGAAGAAATAGCAAATGTTGTGTTGCATATAAATTTTACTAAGCCAAAAGCCAAGCTTATTGCCATTATGCCAATTGCTATGCGTAGCAGCCCAAGGGAGCAGAGAACTGTCTCATAGGATTCCCAAGTCTGTGAATCTCTATGGAAGCAGACTGCCACATCACTCTCCCCTGCAGCAGCTACTATCGGTTTTAACAGCTGAGTGCTTAACCACTGCCCTACCTGGGACCCTGAGAAAAATTTACCACAATTAAAAATGTAAAAAAACCAACCCCACAATAAATACTTCACGCTGTATAAAAAAGAATTAAAAAATCATCCCTGGAGAGTAACAAGTTTTGGTCCAAGAGTATCCAATATTTTGTTTTACCAGAATAAGGTCTACACCTCAAGGCTTATAAATATTAAACAAACAAAACCTTCTCATAGCGCCAAACGACAGTCCCAGCGAAGACTGTGGCGAACACTCTGGGATGTTTGCCTGGCACAAGAAAGGAGGGCTGAGATGGCAGCTGTGTCGCCTGTCACAGAACAAGCAGCCTGATTCTTTACCAAAGGGCAACCTAAAATGAAAGAGAACAGTTTCGTTGTCTTTGAGGAAAAATAGCTAAGTACTGAAGGCAGTTACTTACTCTTAAAAGTTTTTCTTATTGAAATTAACCAGTTGTTATCAAGGCCACAGTTAAAATCAAGGCATTATTTGACACTTCTACTTCAGGACCACAGTGCTTTCTGTCCATGTTAGAAGTGATTCACTTAAGATAGGCCCAATGGCTCCAGGTACATTTGCCTAAACAAAGCTGATGGGGATCTCTTATGTGAAGTATTCCACAGATGGAAGAGGCAGCCAGTGGAAACATGACACAGCTCAGTGTCCTTTCTTTCAAATCACAAGGGAACCTCAGACTAGACAAAGGCATGTGTTAGAGAACAGAGACACCAGAGATGAGCTGTCCTTACTACAATCAGATGCCAAAGGTTACCTCAAACTCTCTCTCCAGGCTCCTCTGAGTTTTGTTTCTGATGCTGCAGGAGGCAGCTCTCTAGCTTCTGCACCTCTTCTTTAAGACCATTTCTAAGATCCTCATTGTTTTTCAGGAATTCCTTCACCATTTCCAGTCTCATTGAGGTCTGCAAGAAGGAAACCATAAAATGTACAGATATTTTCTAATAGATTAATAATATATAATGAAAACTGATTAGCTTTTTAAAAAATTTATTTTAATGAACATTTACAGAGATTGAAAACTGACTAGCTTTAAGATCAGCTCCTGCTCATGTATCCACCAAGAGAGACTGAAACCCTGGCTACAGGCACCTGTTCACAGATAAGATAAAGTCAAAACAAAGTAACCTCCACTCCAACATAACAATGCTAGTTCTGGGACTACACAGTGGGTAGGACCACACATTTGCTTATCTTCTTGAATTCAGAGGCGCTTTAAGCTTCCTGAATAGTATCAAAGGGCTTGGTTTTTGTTTCTCCAATGTCAGATGGATCTTGGCCAAAAGCAAAGAGTACCAGAGGAATGTCTACCTCTGTTTCATTGACTACGAAGGTATTTGACTGTATGGATCACAACAAATTGTGGCTAATCTTGAAAAAATTGGGAATCCCAGAACACCTGATTTGGCTCATGTGAAATCCTTGGACCAGGAACAAAGCAAGAAAACACTGCATGGTTCAAAATCAAGAAAGGTGTGCATCAGGGATGCATCCTGTCTCCATACCTTTTCTATATGCAGAACAGATCATTTGGGAGACTGGGCTTTATGAGGAGGAATGTGGCATCAGGATTGGAGAAGACTCATCAACAACCTACATTATGCAGATCACACAACCTTGCCTGCTGAAACTTAGAAGGACCTGAAGCACTTGCTTCCCAACTGTAGTCTTCAATATGGATTGAAAACATCAAGAAAACAAAGATTCTCACCACTGGGCCAACTGGCAGCATCATGACAGACGGAGAAAAGATTTAGATTGTTAACAATTTCAGCTTGCTGAACAACACTCTTGGTACCAGCAGTCAGGAAATCAAAAGACAAACTGCACTGGGAAAATCTGCTGTCACGGACCTCTCCAAAGTACTGAAAAGCAATGATGTCAGTCTAGAGATGAAGGTGCGTCTAATCCAGGCCATGGTCTTTGCAACGATTTGCTACATATCAGGGAGCTAGACAAAGGATGACATGGACTCATGGACTTCCAAGAAAACAAACAAATTAATCCTGGAGAGGATGAAGTCAGGCTGCTCCTGGGAGGCAAAAATTTTGAAGCTCCATCTCAAATACTCTAGGCATGTTGTCAGGAGGGACCAGTCCTTGGAGGATGGCATCATGCTTTTAAGGGTAAAGAGCCAGCATAAGAGAGGAAGACCCCAGATTGAGATGAATTGACACAGTAACTGGAATAATGGGGGTAGGTGTGTCAGAGACAGTGAGACTGGCTCAAAACAGAGCAGAGTTCAGAGCTATTGTCCAGGGTTGCTATGAGTTGCAGATGACACAATGACAAATAACAACTATGCATTTACATGTGAGCACATGTGTGTATATGTGGGCACACAGTGTATATGTATCTACATTTTTAAAAACACAAGTGAAGACACTGTTCTGTTTGCCTAGATCCTAAAGACCTTTTCTATTTCAGAACATAGAGAGTGGCTTCATTTCCACTCCCCTTAATGGATGAATACTATTTTCAGTTGTGGGTATTTCTCATTTTAACATTCTTTCAAACCTGCTAAAAGCAACAGTGCTGATGTGACAAGTGCATAGAGTGTGGCTTGAGATGTGTAAGGCTGTTTTAATGCTGATAGATGTTGCTGTGTCAACAGTGCTCTGGACTGTTGAAGTTGTGTTGAAATGTTAACTCCTAGATCCTTGACTCTGACCTCCTTTGGGAATGGAGACTCTCTTTTGTTATGTTAATGAGGACACACTGAAGTAGGGTGGGCCCTATATCTAATAATTTCTAAGAAGTGTCTGATAAAAAGGACAAGACAGATACAAGGCACACGAGGAGATGGAGGCAGATCATCTACAAGCTCCAGTGCATCAAGGATGGTTAGCAGCTTTTAGATGCTGAGACACAGGACTGACCTTCCTTGGATACTGCCATCCCTCTGCTGTCCCTCCTGACCTTCTCCATGTCCCTCATCCCTCAACACCACCCCACGGGCACTATCTCATATTTAGTTTTTTTCCCTTTGCTGAAGGTCTGGCACAGAAACCTCAGCTCCTCCTCTATCATCTGCCCTGTGTCTCTTTTCTATTCCATGTCCCTTTTATAATTATGCCCAAAAGGAGTGTCTGTTAATGGGCACGGCTTACAACTCTGGCACAGAGTACAAGTATTTGCTCTTGAAATGTGCTTAAGAGGTACTCAAGACTGTTAGTCTGTTGAGGAAGTAGTCAAAGGCGGCTTTTGGGGGAAAATTATTAAAAATAAGGAAGGCTTTTGCACATTTGCATGTAAAGGGGAAGTAGGAAGTAGAGTGGAAAAAACTGAAAGCCGTAAGCCAGGCCTGGGGGGTGTGTGTGTGTTATTAAAGTTTACCTGTAAAGGTGAAAGACCTTGGGCAAGAAAACATCACCTCTCTATAAACTAGGGGTGATGATACCCACTCCAGTTAGGGGTCAGAGGATTAGAAATAATTACTAAAAGCACTCAGCATTGTGTCTGGTACATTTCTGTCTCCCTTCACTCATTTAAAGGGGCCCTCCTGACATAGTGCAGTACTTGTGCTGCTAACTGAAAGGTCCATGGTGTTAACTCACCGACTGCTACACAGGATAAAGTCAAGCAGTCTCCTCACATAAAGATTTCCAGTTCAGAACACCCTATGGCAGGTCACTCTGGATTGGAACTGCCCGGACAGCAGTGGCTTTGGGGCTCACTCATTTAACAAATGAGTACTGGGAATCTCCCAGGGGCTAGGTTCTAGCCAAAGGTGCTTGTGAATTCCATTCTTTCCATCCCTCAAGCCGAAAGTAAGAGTGCTGTTTTTGACATCTCTTTATCTCACAGGCAACATCCACCCACTTCTTGCCACCTCTATACCCCTCCCTGGTCTGACTCACTGTCATCTCTACCTGGAACACTGAGCAGCAACCCTCCCATCTTGCCTTCTCTGCCTCAACCCCAAGGCATCCTCAACACAGAAAGAAGCCAGGGCTCAGAACTCAGTAGACTCCCGAGTAGGAGCCAAGGTTCTTCCAGTGGCTCACTGGGTCTAGTGTCACACTCCCCACTCCCTGAACTGCCTTGCCTCACTCTCCAGTACCCCTTCCTTCACTTGGCTCCACCCTATTGCTTGACTAGCTGTCCTGTCCAAACACTCCTCCCCCAGATATGCCATAGGCTCCCCCCCTCTCTTTTGAGATACACTGCTAAGGCTTCCCTGACCCCCTTACAACAACCTGCTACTTGTCCCCACTCTGCCACTCTGGATTGTCCTCCTCCTCCCTACATGGCTTCTTCTTTTTAAATAAAAACATGTATTTATTTCTTGCGATGTGTTTTATTCACAAGTTTGAAGAATTGCTTTAGTAGAAAGTTCTTTACTTTAAAACAAACTCCAATTCAACGTCAGTGGAGTCAGACCCATAGGCAACCCTCCAGGAAGTTTTTAGAGGCTGTAAATTCCACAGGAGATTGTTGTCCATTGTTCTCCCTTGGAGCAACTGGTGAGTTTGAACTGGCTGCTTCTGGACACCACCTTACCCACTAGGCTACCAAAGGTCACTGTGGAAGTGTTGTTGTGGAGTTGGAACAGACCCGTAGCTGACCAATTAATAATACTTTTTAAAAAAGAAAGAAAAAGAAGTTAGCTTAGTTTCCACAAACTGGCTTACTTAGGAAGATTGTGTTGTGCATTGCCTGGCTTTTATTTAGGTCCATAGTGTTAATAAGCTGCACTGCAATCCCAAAGGCACAGTAAGAATATACCTACATGGCTTCTTTATTGTGTTTATTGCTGTTCATCTGTCTCCCCCCAGCAGGGATCTTTGTCTTTTTCCAGCTGTACACCAAGCTTCTAGCACTGTTCTTGGCACACACAAGTGCTTTATAACTACTTCTGGGTTCTAACAGATGAAACGCTCTCTTGTGTCCTTTCCCCTACTGCCTCAAGTATGTTGTCATTGTCTGTTCTCGCTGCAATTCCCCATGGATCTTTTTCCTCACCAGAACTGCGGAAACCAGTAATTACTTGAAATAACATGCAAATGATTGAATATATTTTTAGGCCGCTATTGTCCTCATTGTTCTTTAATGTTTAAATCCCAAACTCCCAGCAGAGCAGCCAAGGCAGCAGACTGTGCAAAATGAAAGGCTGCTGGGTGAGTAATGAATGTGGCTCAGAGTGGTCTGGTGGATGGGCATACATCCGACGCACACACAGTCCATTGACAAGTGCTCCATAAGCATTGTACAAGGGTACAGTCCACAGGCATGCACACAGCTATGGGCCAGCATTCCATGAGCACACAGTCTGTAAGAATGCAAGCTACAAGCACATAGTCCACCAGCAAGTTCTCCATGAGCACACAATCCACGGGCATGCACTCCTTGGGTTCCCTGCGTGTTCAGGTACTCTACAGCGCAAAGTGTTTTCACAATCACAGTCACCTATGCAGGGTCTATTTTTGTAATTGTTTTTTATAACTCTATACACAACCCTGCTTGCTGAAACTGAGGAGGACCTGAAGCGCCTGCTGCAGAGTGTCAAGGACTGCAGCCTCCAATATGGGTTAAGGCTCAATGTCAAGAAGACAAAGATTCTCACCACTGGACCAACTGGCAACATCAGGACAGATGGTGAAGAGATTGAGATTGTTCACAGCTTTAGTCTGCTTGGCTCCACAATCAACACTCTTGGCACCAGCAGCCAGGAAATTAAAAGACGTATGGCGATGGGAAAGTCTGCTGTCAGGGACCTCTCTAAAGCACTGAAGAGCAATGGTGTGTCTCTGGAGACTAAGGTGCGTCTGGTACAGGCCATGGTCTCTGCAATCACTTGTTATGCGTCAGAGAGCTGGACAATGACCAGGGAGGATAGAAGGGGAATTGGTGCTTTTGAGCTTTGGTATTGGAGACGAGTGCTGAGGGTGTCATGGACTGCTAA